GGACTCTGTCCACTAGAGGACATTGCCAGGGTTTGAGGGACCAACGTGGCGCAGTTTATGCTTTACCCTTTATTCCCACTTAATTTTTCTAGGTACTGGAGTCTTTTTGTCCCTAATTTCTCCACTTTTAATAACAAGTTACCATTTCTTTGCTTCTTTTAAGTTGCTACACTATCTGTTTATTGTCCATGTTTCTCATTAGATGCGACACTGCTGTTATAGGTTTGCCCCTCCCCTAAGCGACCAGGTACCTATTTGGATCAATGTAGTGCGCATGTTTGTGTATGTGCTTGCGTTTTATGTGTGTGTGTTCCACTTGAGGGTGAGTGGAATGGCACTGTGTACAGAATAAATATTGATACAAACGGAGCATGAGGGGGATTGATTTACCAGGGTGATGTCCGCACAGTGGAGTCGCAGAAATCGAGGGCTTTAGTTCGGCATTCAGCACTCAAGGAAGAGCAGGAACAGCAGACTGAATCATTGGCCACACTTGGAGACAAAAGCAGCGTTGGAAGCACACCTGTAGCTCTTAGCTAAAGTGGATGTGAGGGTCAGAGGTGTAGGGCTATGAGCCTGATGCTGTGAGGAAGAGGAGAAAGGAGGAACCGTCTCTGCAGGGCCCATGTGTGACCGAAAAAGCTCGAAGAGGCATGGTGGGAAGCGGGAATCTCGTTCTTCAGGAGGATCAGTGGAGGGAGGAGGGGGAGGTAGTAGTGGTGGTGGTGAAGGGGGAGTGGAGGGTCCCACGCTCCTAGTGGACGGTAAGGGCACGGCTAACTTTGTGTGGGAATTGGTCATTTCCCTCCAGTAGTCATGGCACCCATTTGTTAGGGAAGCCAGCACAAAGGCAAGGATCATTCATATCCTGAGCCATTTATGAAATTGCAGCAGGGCTATTTTTACGCATATGGCTGTTGTAATTCTTTGATTTTTCTTTACGGTTGTTTGCATGGCGTAGCGGCTGAGGCCTGACCTTTGTTTTGAATCTGTTTCGAGCACCTTTTGTTGCATGGTTTTATGGAGCCATTGGATCAGCATAGGGATGGGACGATTACCGGTATCACGATAAAATGCCCTGACGTTTAGGATTATCGTTTAAAATTTAATTATCATCAAAACCGTACTTGATTATCGCGATTTTGAAAACTCGCGGTAAATCCTGTCCAGCCAGCATCAGTCTGACACAGAAGCAGCATGCAATGTAGTTGTTGTTTTTATTGCACAAGACGAAATGGCGGAAGGCAGTGACAGCGCTCGGGAGATTTTTCAGCCATCTAAGAGAACCAAATCGGTGGTCTGGTCGTATTTTGGCTTTTACAAGAGTACTGAAGGCAATTTAATCGAGGACGGTCACCCTGTCTGCTGATCTTGCAAGAAGAACGTCGCTGCAAAAAGGGGGAAACGCATCAAATTTGCTCAGTCATCTTCGTGACCACCACCCACTGTTAGC